GGTTAGTGCACCTGTCACTTTAGAGACATATGTCCTAGCCACAGTCGCCACAGTGCGCGTGAGCTTCCTGCGCGACTGTGGCTATTACTCTTTTTTTGCTAAATGAGCTATCCAAAGATATTCATGTGATAAGGTCCATCTCGCTAGTCACATCAAAAGATGTGGACTTCACCTCTCTATCTCTTGGCAACTCATTTTGCTATATGAGTCGCCCGTGTCATAGCCATCATTCCCAATTATAAATTACATCATGAAAACTGAAGAGATAATCTTTCAAATATTATTGATTGAATTAGTAATGAGCATGATGTCCATCAAGGTTTATTTCTTCCAAACGTTTGGTTAATATTATGAATCCCAAACATTTCAATGTTGCATTGGCTGTTCGTGTTTTCCCTATTACTACTATTTAGACCCGTGCAAAGCACGGTTTCTAAAAGATTTTCTACAAATATTGAATATGTTACCAAAATAAAGTATTCTGCTTTAGATATGAAATATAGGGGTGTTATTTGCTTTTCTTATTATTTGTTCAAATATTCGATCAAGTTTGATTCAATAGTTCATACAACACTAAACAAATAATTTTAAGTGTTTGGCTTATAAATGAATAGAATTTAACCAAATGCATGTTTGATTCGGTATACACTAACATTGTTAAACATAATAAATGATTTTGGTAACATGTTAAACAAAATAAATGATATATCCGAACATTGTAAAACATAATAAATGAGCATAATAAATAAAACCCAGTATACACTAAAATTTTGCGTGATAAGAGCAACACAACTTATATAACTTTCGGTTGAAATAAATTAAAAAGAACAAAATTAAAAATTAATCTATGTTAACATTACATAAACTTGAAAGTTATATAATATAAATATTACAAATTTACAATATTGAGGATACATAAACTTGAAAGTTATGTAATATAAATAATGATGATTTTTTTTCTTATACTCAAAGAAGATCTGAAAATGTGATTTTAGTTGGAAGCTTATTTTCTAACCTAGAGACGAATGCAAATCCTACAGAAAAAATAATTCAATCTACCTCTTTTTGTTTAGACTCTTTCAGGGTCTACAAAAATGTGGAAGCTTGGTTAGTGGTCGCAAGAGCTTAAACTGGATGAAATGATGAACCTAAACATAATTTAACTATCACCACCTACATTGAAGTCCTTAATATTCTCTCTATTGCTCAAACTTTTTTTGCTAGCTAGGAATTTAGCATGGACTTGAGTACTATCCCTTAGTTAAAATGTTCATGATCTATTGCCTTCAAGAAAATGGACATTGAATATTTCCCCAAATAAAATTTTGGTTCCACATATTCTAGCTATTAAAGCGTACCCTGCATATGAAAGAATTCCAAGTGTGCAATGGCAATGTCAATGGAAAATTCATTTCATACCTCATACCAAACTAAAACGCACATTACAATAGAAACTACTGATAATAATAAGAATAATACATCATAAAATCATCAAATACCTCCATCAATATCCCACCTTTGTTGCTTCCCTCAACCCCTTCAACCTCTCTCTCACCAAATCCATCGACCCATCAACCTCGATCACCTCCTCATATGCTCTCCTGACCTCCTATATCATCCCCTTCCACTCATAACACTCTCCAAGCAATCCCAATCCCTTCCCACTCCTCTCCCCAATCTCCATCGCCTCCGTCAAATCCTCAATCGCCTGATCAACTCTCCTCCTCCTCTTCCCTACCCCCAAACTCAATCATCGCCTCCGTCAAATCCTCAATCGCCTGATCAACTCTCCTCCTCCTCTTCCCTACCCCCAAACTCAACTCCGCTCTCTTAATCAAAGCATCAGCCTTCCCAAACTCAACTCCGCTCTCTTAATCAAAGCATCAGCCTTCTCCTTAGGCCCTAGGGTTTTCAATTGAGGAGAAGAAAGGGCAACATCGAGGGATTTGAGAGCAGGAATCTTGTGACCCTCAAGATTTAGAGCTAGGGCTTTGAAGATGTGGGGAGCGGCATCGCGGGGTTCGAGGGCAATAGCGAGGTCAACGGAGGAGATGGAGGATTTGATTAGGGTTTGGGAGGGAGGGGATTGGGACCGGGCTTGGGCTAAGGTTTGGGCTCCAGCGATGAAGTGGCGGCGGCCTTGGATGGTGGTTGAGTTTTGCTGGCGGTGGCGGCGGTACAGGGAGATGAAGCGGTTGGGGAGAAATTGGAGGAAGAAGATGGAGAAGATGTTGATGACGATGAAGAGACCTTGGATGAAGGATTCAAAGCTCGCCATTGATTTTAGTTGCTCGCTTCTCTGCTCCTCCCATTATTTTGACTTTTGATCTGCTTACCACGTGGGTGTTGTTGGTGATGAGCCTGCATTGCTTTCTTATTTTTTTTCCCTTTTTTGCAGAGGTTATTGGTGATGGCAGAGGTTATTGGTGATGAGAGAGATACATAAGGGAAGAGATAGAGTGGAGGTTTGCGGGAGTTACATGACACCTGCGAATGAACGTGGAGGACGTGAGGAGGCGTGGTTAGTTAGACACGTAGCGTGTTGGAAGGACTTAGGGGGTGTTTGGTTACATTTCTATAAATTATAGGAAATGTTTTCCATCCCAAATTTGATTTCCTTGTATTTCTTAAAAAAATTATAGGAAAAGTTTTGAGAAGTTAAAAAGTACAAATTTTCTTATTTTTTGTATTGTGCTTGTTTGGTTCAAAACAAGAAAATGAGAAATAACTTTTGGGAAAATAGCAACATTTCCTATAATTTATAGAAATGTAACCAAACACCACCAACTTTATAGAAAAGTGAGAACTTTGTAGAAAAGAGTTAATGAGTTTTATTATTTAAATAATGAATGCGTCAGATTTCCAAGAGATTTCCTCCCATTTTAGAAGGAAATCAATTTTCATAAAATTTGATACTTTTGGGCACTTTACAGAAAACATTTCTGTAAATTTTTTTGGAACCAAACACAGTTTATAGAAATGTATAGAAAACTCTTAATTACATAAATGCCATGCGTCAGTACTTTTGAGAAAACATTTCTCAAAAACAATGCAACCAAACACCCCCTTATTATCAAGGACGTGAGGACATAATTTTTTTGAGGTGATGACGTGGCTCTGTCTAATTGGTCCACATCAGCTTTACTATTCAAAGGAGCTTTTTGAATGTTCTCTTTTAGTTAATAAAAAGTACATTTAGTGTTCCCTTTTATTTAGTATGCAAGCACCAACTGGAGACCAGCTGATGGAAAATTGTTAAAAATGATCTGAACATGTCCTTGAAAACATATGTTTTCTCTGAAAAGCCACAAGTAGAGGCCGTTTGGGGATTGCATCTCCAAAGAATTTGTTGCGGGTAAGGAATCTGAAAAAAAAAAAAGATCATACTGGAAATTTTGTGTGCTTGCAAGAGATATTGGAAAAGACTTGTATGAAAGGACAGAATCCTTTTTTTTTTAATGTTACACATGAATTTCTTCTACGATATATGACTAAAATCACAAATTTTAATAAGATCAATTTTTTTACCAGATCACATTTGCTACATTTATTCAAAATGCAACCCCAAATTCCGAGCATGCAATCAAAAACTATATTTAATAAAAATCCAGATTTCAGGCGTGTTGCATTTTTCAATGCGAAATTATAAAATTCTCATCATCGATCTTCCCATGCACGTCCTAACACATATTGACGCTGTCTAAGATTGTCTATATTGTAAAATCAAGCCTCTTAGAATGTGCATACGAATCTTATTTGTTGAATCAATTAGGTTATTAGTACTCAAATGAAGTTATTAAATTACACTTTAATGTTTAGTTATGAACTCTCATGTATCTATTCAAACAAAAACCCCTCTAAAATACTCGAAATCTCGACTTTAGAAAATTTGGATATTACAATTGAGTTATTACTGAGTTTTCCCAATCCACTCCATTACAGCTTGAAGGGGAAGACCTCCATTGGCCTATGGATTCGCCAGATGAATGAACACGGGTCAACATCTGAGCCCAATTGGAATGATAAAGACGAGTACTGCAACATGGCCTGTGATCTCCCTGACCACTGCTCGAAGATTATTTACCTCATTCTTCAAAAGTTCTACGAAGAGGAAAATTTTAAAATAGACTCATTTACAATTTTATTCCTTAAAATTAACTCATTTTAAATTTATTCACAAAAATCGATCCAGTTTTGGTCACGTCAACAGTACGGACTGAAACTGAGCCGATTTTAAAAAAAATGATTTTCTTTAATTAGTCAGGGTTGCCAACCCCGACTAATTAGAAATAAATCTTTCGAACCAGTTAAAACGGGGTCGTCTTTTGGGGATATGTTTGAAATGGATCGCTTTTGGTGAATAAAGTTATAATTATGTCTGTTTTGAATATTTCTCCTTCTACGGACGCCAAATAGGCAAACGCCTTCAAAGACTTGTTGAAAAGAAGCTAAAAGCCAATGTCCATGCACCCACAAGAGTTTACCAAGGCTGCCGGGAGGAGGACGTCCTTCATATCTGCAATATTTAAGGATTAAAGATGGGACGAGGATCATATATATCATTATAATAACATCAGTTGGCTTTAGGGTGTGTTTGGATTTCAATGGGGTTAAGGGAAGTTAAGGGAAACTAGGCGAGAGAATGGAAGGGAAGGGAAGGGAGTTCCGGAGTTCCCTTCCCCTTGGTTACACCCCAATTTGGAGGGTAACAAATTTTATACTATTAGGGGGTGAACCAAGGGGAACTAGGATGAATAACTTCACCTCCAAAATGTTTCCAAATAAGGTGAATGGTTCCTCTAACTTCCCTTCACTCTTATTCCCCTCAATCCAAACAAGCCCTTTAGACAGAATGCTATTTTGAATGATTATTATAGATGCAACTCTTGTTGGTGTTGACAAACCGCGAAATTTCTCAACACCATTTCAGGTTCTTGTTCTTAATGACAAAAAGATAAAAAATAATCACATAAAGAATGAACACAATGATTTACGTGGAAAACTCAAACATGAAAAACCACGGTTTGAGCTCAGAGCTCGGAGGATACTTCACTATATGGAATCAACAAAATGGGTACAAGGCACATCTGACAACGCCGACTTCCACACAACCCTCACTCACGCTCTTTGTCTATTAACTCAACACTCGAGATCTCTACAACACAAGAGACTCTCCTTCACTCTAACTCTCTATACTTTTAAGAGAACAAGTGAAAAACTTAGATTACCCTTGAATTGCCTTTTTTATTACTCTCCACAATGAGAGCATGCCTTTTTATAGGCCTTGATTAACTTTTTCATCTTCCAAAATGCTTGAGAATACACAAATCTGTCTAGATTCGGGTAGGGCACTTTGACTGATCATAACTCCATCCATACTGCTCCGGTTCCTGTGATTCAAAGATTAGAGTAAACTATGCATGTACCTCTACAACTTTCTTATAGAGTTCCGAGCCAAATAATAACTGCATCATGCCCGAAAAGACCATGCAAAGTTGTATCTGCATGCAGAAAATGGCGGCAATAAATTTTGTTGGAAATTGAGCCAACTCCAACAACTCTAGTTAGTTGGTGCTGGATCCTGATGAGAAAAATAATGTGCCTATTGCTTCTCTGGGTCTTTATTGTCTTGTGCTAGAAATTTGCTTAAAATCCTCACGCTTTAACCTGAAGATAGCTTATGTTGGAGAAGGGGATTATACGTCACATAATATGGTGAATATCTCCAGCTAATATTTACCAAAATAAGGAGTCTGCTGCTTCGTTTGCTTGATTAAATATTTTCCACCACGAGATGATAAGCCTTGTTAAATGAGTCGTTATTGTCGGTGAAAATCAGTCTTGATACTAACGTGGTGGAATACTGAAGGCAACAAAAGAGATAAAACACTGGAAGGCAACAGAAGAAAAGATGCATCAAATGCAGCACATGAGATTTACATAGTTTGTAGCCTACGGAAACAACAGGAGCGCCGATGTCAAGGATGTAAATAGTAACTAAAATTTCACTCTCACAATGTTGCAATGGGGTCCGCCCACGATAATTAGAGTTCTATTGTCAATGATTGTGATTATGATCAGTTCTAGGGTCAATTAATGTGGGTCACAACTATAAGGGGGTCATATTCATGCGGCTTCCTCCTCTTAAATTAGTTCTCCACAAATTAAACTCCATTGCCGCCATTCTCTAACTTATTTGATTTTTTCCCCCTTTTTTTGAATCTCAGGTGTTATTTTTTCTACATTTATCAAATTACTAATCCCAATTATTTTATCCTCCATCATCCATCATGATTGCATCATGTTCTTTTAGGAGTTTTTCTTTATTAATGAGTTTCATGGGTTAAAAGGGGGTGTTGATTAGGATTAGTTGACAACTTGACGTTGTGGATAGATGGTCTAGCCCATTTTCGCAATTTACCATTAAAAATTCATAAAAAAGAACAATAATAAGTATTACTTTGGCACTATTATAAACAAAAGAGTGAGGTCATAATGAGTCGCCATTTTATATACAATTTATAAGAAAGTGTGACACTCTTTTATTTGTGATAGTGTCAAAGTAAAAAAAATTATAGTACACTTATCATTCTTCTATAAAAAAAATGTTGGATTTATTGGTCAAAACGGCTTTTCAAAATAAATTTTCAAACTATATATTTACTAACTACTGGTATTTTTCAGAAATCCTTAGTGTTGCGCGCAGCGGAAATTTCGGCAGCACTTCGGCAGCACAACAAGAGAGTCAGATCGCAATAAGAATTCCCGTCTCACCAAGGAGACAAGAATCTGAAGCGGATATCTCAACCAAGTGAGATATCGGCTCTTCCTCTCATCAGTTCTAGGACTGACCTGTCGAGGGATCCTAAAAGCTATTACAAATCACACAAAAGCAGTACAACCAATTTTAACGTGGTTCGGCAAATTGCCTACGTCCACGGGGCAAGAAGGGGGGAGATCTACTAATAGAGGGAGAGATTACAAATAAGGTTTACAATCACTCTCAAACTAAACCCTCAAACAAACTCTCAAATCCCTCACAATATCTCTCTACAAAAGGACCAGAGAAAACAGGTGTACGTCAGGTGCATGACGCACGGCAAGACCCGACCCCACAAAGAAAATAGAACGAACGAAAATCCAATGCGAAAAACGATACGATAACAGAAACAACAAAAGAACGTACAACTGAAATCCATAAATCAACATGAAAAACTACTAAAACATGATAGACATAAAGCATCCAAAATCGATCAGGTAACGAGGTCATGCAAATAG